GTCTGGCTTCTTGAAGACTGCAGATGCACAAGGGGGTCTCCACCAGCAAAGCTACAGCAGGAGATCAAGTGAAGACCTCCCAGTCACAGCAAGGTTCTGAGCTTCAACACGATACTACCCACGCCGTGCCCCTGGACCAAGCAGTGGTGCGTGCAGGAGGAGGGACAAGAAGCATCTCCAACGCTGCAAAACCCACGGCTGGAGCTGGCCTGGCCGTCGCCAGCCCAGAACAGCAGGAGCAGAGGGATGAGGGTGCACCACAAGCACCCATCACCCTCGAGTTCTGCAGTTCTCCAGCTCATGAGCAGCACGCTGGCGAGGCCAGAGAGCGGCTGACGCAGCAGCTCAGGGAAGGAGGGACCTGGGGAGGACCCTGCGCTCAGTGTGGCACCGTCCTGGAGCCAGGTGCAGCCCTGTGGATCCCAGCACCCCTGCAACCAACACCAGGCAGACTTAATTTGTGTTGTTGCTGTTGTCATTAAGAGCCCGGGCTTCTCCTGGGAGCCCCCCGTCACCAAGGCAAATAATTCGCCGCGACGCCTTTTTGAGCATCTCTGCTGGAAGCTACAGATATTCCCAGCTCAGGGCCGGTGAAGAGCAGGGGCTTGGCAATCTCCATCACAGAGAAGGAGCTGTCAGGGAGCCTCATGGAGGGAAGTTTGGAAGACACAAGAAAGCAATGAAGCCTCAGCTTCTCAGATGGGGCCAGGACTATTAAAAGAGCACTTAGGCCCCTTAACATAAAACTGCATCAAAGAGGAAAACCAGATGAGAAGAGATTCATTTGCCTTGGAGGAATCCGGGCTCTCTGATACGCTGCCTTCCTCCAGCAAAGGTTCCGTGCGGGCTGAGATGCCTGCGGGCAGCAGAGCTGTTTTGTCTAAGGCCTGCATTTGCAGAGGGCATTTTAACAAGCCCAGCTGCCTCTCCGAGGGGCTCCACCGCCCCCTCCCCACTCATTGCCATGCAGAGCAGAAAGCCCCCGACTCCACCGTAACAAAAACTGGATTCCTTTTTAAACACGCTGTCTCAATGACAAAAAGATGAACCAAAGCTACATCAACGCTCAGAGCATCAAAGAGCTCAAGATCAGGCTTCAGACCTGCTCACCAGCACCTCGACAGCGCTGGGAGAGCACCCGTCTTGAGGACTCATCCGCAGGCACATACCTGGGTGGCTGCCACCCCCCTGGCTGGGGGGCTCAGCGGGTGCTGGTGCTTCAAACGCCTGTCTTGTGGTTTTGACCAGCTCTGGACCAGGGGGACGCATCACACGCGTGGGTGGGTGTGCAGAGGTGCTGCAGGGCCCTACCAGGTTTTCTCCAAGCTCTGGGACAGGCTGTGTGACAACCAGCACCACGGCGGCTTCGTTGCTGGCCCTGCTCACCCCCGCTCCCAGCACAAGGAGGCACAAAACCGGCACGCTGTGCCTTGAACGAAAAATAAAGCAAAGCACCCCAAAAAGAGCTGGCTTGGAGGGCAGGGACGACTGGAAAATAAAGCAAAGCACCCCAAAAAGAGCTGGCTCGGAGGGCAGGGATGACTGGAAAATAAAGCAAAGCACCCCAAAAAGAGCTGGCTCGGAGGGCAGGGACGACTGGAAAATAAAGCAAAGCACCCCAAAAAGACAGGGACGACCATCCACCACCTCCACAGCCAGCCCAGCCGCTGCCCGTTCCAGGCTTGCCCCCACCCACAGGGAAACCTCGAAGCCTTGGATGACCCAAGCAGCTTCTCCCCAAAACCGAGACCCCTCCGAGGAAGGCGTGTGAAACCCGCACGAGCCCCCGCGTGCCCCTGACCCGCAGATTACGCTTCTCGAGTCCCCCCCTGCTTCTGAACCCACCTCTGCCTACCCCCCGCCGTAGAAGCGAGGGCGGGGCTCCGATGCCCTGCAACATCTGGGAGCCATCTCAGCCCCGGCGCTGTGCAGTGCCTCAACAGAAGGTGTGATGAGAGCCAGATGTTCGCCCCTGCCCACGCACCCTCAGCGGAGGGGATCACAACCAGGGGACAAATCAAGAGCAAGGCCTGCGAGAATATATGCGGAGCCCCCGGAGGCCTTTAAAACTGATTTTTAAAACCCATTTCCCTCGGCGCAGAGGGAATTTTATAGAGTAGCCCCAGCAAAGCGCTGGCTGTTTGCTGCAAGGCCTGGCGACGCCAAGCCTTTGGGGTGGACCTGCTGGAGAGCAGCTCTGCGGAGAGGGACCTGGGTGTCCTGGTGGACGACAGGTTAACTATGAGCCAGCAGTGTGCCCTGGGTGCCAAGAAAGCCAATGGGATCCTGGGGTGCATCAAGAAGAGTGTGGCCAGCAGGGCGAGGGAGGTTCTCCT